GATGATGGTCTGTGCACAACATTGCTGGCATTTGTCATTGTACTAATTAGTCCAGCCCTGAGTATAAGGATTAGTGTCAGTCCCTCGGGCAAACTGGTGATAAAGCTCTAAGAGAATGTTTAAGCTAAATAATGTTGGCAATGCAGATGCTATTAAATAGGAGGAACACATTTGAAATGGTGCTGTATGTAGCTTCAGTGCTAATGCTTGCAATGGCAATAGCTTAGAACATAATCTATGTATTAAATAAATGTGTAAATTGGATTTGAAAATATTCATGGGGACAGAGGGCTGGAGGAGCCTCTTGGGTCTTTGAGTCCAATTCTCTGTTATCACAGGCCCAGTGTCATATAATCCCTCTCATAAACTTGTGTAATCTTTTTCATATGCTTAAACATGCTTCTCCCAGGATCTAGAGCAGGGACTTGAACTATCTTTCATCTCAGTTCAAGTGGCTGCTTTGAACAGGGCAGGAATGAAATCTGAACGTCACAGTTGTCTGAGTATCCTAATAACTGTTGTACTAGTGGCTTTTCTCTTTCTTACATTCCCTTTCTCAGTTCAATTGAACTGTCACTTCTGCATCCCTGGAGACAGGGGTAAATGGAATTTTAATGTATTAAAAACTGCAAGTAAGCTACATAAAGTTTTTTCCTATCTTTAGGAAAACCTTCTACAAGATTCTGGGCAACTGGTAGACCAATGCAATTCTTTTTCATCATGGAGCCAAAAGATAGATCTGAAAAAACAAGGTGTATGTATGAACCAGTGCTGTCTGGGGTGATATGCTCAGTTCCTGAGAGTCTGGATAAACCTAGCTGACTACTATTGCAATGAATAATTCACTGTCTCTAAATTTAGCTTTGATCTATGTGATTGTGTTGTGAGCTTGAAACATACTCACATACATCATGCACAGGAGCTTTAACAGCCCTACCCTTCCCCCTCTCATAAAAACGCCCTTCTGACCCCAGTGCATCACTCTTCCAGCTGTACCAAAGTGGTAGGGTGCACAGTTCATCAATTTAGGGATCTCAAAGATTTTTTTTTAGATCTTAAAAGGCTTTTCAGAGGCTCCTGAGAGATCATGGAGGAATTCCAAGGACACTGTCTTGTCTGGCCTAGGAAAAGGTTAAAGCTGAGATACACTTTTTATTTTGTAGACTACCTGGTGATTTGACTATACAAAGGCATAAATCTTCCTCTGAAGAACAACTGCTTAAATTTTATTAGGTGGTAGATTTGTTTAATTAAGATCAGCATTTATCCTATGCTCCCTTCCGCTTTCCTGGCATCTAGCTGATGCGGGGGAGGAAGCCTTCGGCCTCAAAGTGAGACCAGGTCTGGAGGAAGAAGTAATATCTTTCATTAGACCAGTAATTCAGTTGGAAAAAGCAGATGAGTGTGCAGGTACGTGTGCCCTTCAGATTCAAATACAGAGGTCACAGAAACCACACAGGGAGAGTACACTGGCATACAAATCCTGATGAGGTTGTGAGTGGAAGCAGAAAAGATCCCTGAGAGTGGCTGGACCAGAAGACCATGGGGTGATATCAGCGCTGGAGCAGAAGGAAGATGAAGTTGCTTTTTGAGATGGCAAACAGGAAGGTGATTTGTGTCAGAGAAAAAGGCCTTGAAGATCCTCCAGAAAAAAGGTACAGAGATTGAGACTAGGATGAAAACAGGGAGAAAAAGCCAGGGTAGCAGGTGAAGTGAAGGCTGAGGCTGGAGGAGGATGCTGGAAGAGAGGAGACGCATCAGCTTTGGAGAGGGAGCTGCGTATGAAAATAAGGAGGGGTTAGAGATACAGGACATGGATATATAAATAAAGTAAGAACAAGTTGCTCAGAAGAAGAGAGGAGGAAAGTCTGGGATCCAACTGTAAACTTGAGGGGTAGAGCTGGAGTTGAGAAAGGGAATGAAGAACAGGGAACTGTGCTATTGCAACTGTGGCAGTTCCAGTAAGAATCCATAGGATGCAGTTTCTGGGTTCATCCTTTGCTTTTATTAAATCTAGCTTACTCCGCAAAACCTACTGCATTGGAAGATCATCATTAAGACAAGCAACGAAGATTTAGGCAATGCCATAGTCTAGGTAGCCTATTCATTATGTTTTTACTTTCCCGTAACTAACCTGCAATCATGAAACAAGGGTACCAGTTAATATCAACTTTATTGTATTACTTTGGTGTAGGTATGAAAAATTAAAAATAAAATGAAAAAGAAATGATGCTTATTAGTGTAAGGAAGAAAGAGCTTCCTGTCAAAAGAGACCTGGTAATCAGTTGTTTGAAGGGTCTGCATACACTTTCGAGTATCTTGGAAATGACTCTGTCCCTTCAATTTTTAAGAAGTAGTTTGGTAATTTCTGTTCCAGCACTTGCAGTAGATGTCTTATTATGTTGTACAGGAAAGATACAGGCCTGGAAAACTTATAAATAATTCCAACATGTTTTGATTAGATTTGGGATGGCAATAAAATGTTGTATGGTTTAGTTATAAGGTTTCTCTGGTAAAAGCTAAGATGGACTCTATTACAAATCTTAATGGATGTCAAACCTCAAAATCTTAAAGTTTTCTAAATTTGCCCAAGTGTAATTTTAAATTAGACCATCAGACTTGTTTTGAGTGAGAGAAAAAGTAGACGTAAATGAGCCTAAGTGCTTAAGTGAGACTGAGATGATAGGGCTGAAAGTGTTTCTGTAATTTTAATGGACATGAAATTTATGTGCTAGACAAACTACATTATAATAGAATTTTCGTGAATTTGTCTTCTTAAGAATTTCTCTCTTTTCTCCATTTGTCTGCATGGGTGTGAAAGCCTATTAATAATAAATAGTATTATAATAAAGATTTTTTTTTTGTTTTTGACCCATTGAACCAAATGAAACCTTTTCATGATAAATCAAGTGCAGAAAGAAAGATACTGCCTGCGTAGTATTTCAAATTGTCAGGTCCCAGAGCCTCTGCTATAATGGTGTGAACAGCAGGTAGTCTAGGGAAGGGAAACAAAGCATACAGAGAGGCTAATTCGACTCAGCATGTAAATTCGGGCTTGGCTGAAATGGATCCTTCAAAATCTACCTTCTTCAGCCCTTTGGAGAATTTTAGCTTCTTTTTGGAAGATGCTCTTTTAGTAATAGGAAGCCTCTGAATGTCTGATACCAGACCCAGAATATGAACTGAGAATTCCTCTTTTTCTCACCTTTGTCTTGACTCCAGGAAAAATATCCCTTGCATTTTTGCAACTGCTAGAAATATTTCATCTGTTTGATTTATGGCAATGTTTAATGAATGAGTGACAGGGGTTTGCTATCAGGCTGCGTAACCATGCAGACCATTTCAATAAGGCAAGGTCAAAGTGAGCCTAGCTGATGTCTTTTTAAAAAATGGTTGCTAGAATATAAATGCCAAGTCTAGTTAAAAAAATCAGCACAGCTGGCTGTAAAATCTAAAACATTACTGCAATAGTCACAGCTCGGAAAGATCACAGGAGAAAAAAGCTTGATAAATTCAAGTGGATGGGCAAAGGAAGCTTCTGGAGGCAGCATAATTGCTTTTCAAGCAGTTCTGCTGAGTCTTCAGGAGGAAGAAACAGGCGGTGGGATATATGTTGTGTGTCGGTAAGAAGTGTTTGACTTAGCTGCTCAACGGGACAACAAAGTCAGATTATTTTGATTTGCCTAGTGGGAAAAGGCACTGGTCGTTTAGGAAATTAGTATTTTTCTTGGATGTGAGGCAACCAGAGATGGAGTACAAGGGGATGGGCTGGGCAGCAAATCAGTCCTGTCCCAGGGACTCCCACTGCGTGAAGTGTGGCCCTGCCACTGAAACGCATTTCTCACATCTTCTTTCTAGTTGCTCAGCAGAGAAAAAGTTTTCCATGCTGAGCAGCAGAACATGTGTCTGTATCTGGGTAGGTTTTTAAATCAGTTTTGAATCCTTTGGGAAGATATATGTCACTTAAATGCAATTAAAATATAGCATCCTTTGTAACTCTGGTTTTCTTTATGATCTCCTTTAAAATGCAGTTGTGCCTAAGATTTGTTGAGTCAGATACGTATCTGGGTCAAACCAGTGTCAGACTGCTGATTTACCTGGCAGCTGAGTTACAGTGACTGAATTGTGGACCTGGATTTCTGAATATGAAAAGAGGCATTCATAACTTTTTTATTTGTGCTCCAACTGGTAATGAAAGACAACTGCTTTGTAAAACTATAACAAATGGGAAAAGAATGAGCAAACAAGAACATTTGTGTTCCCACTACTACATACAGATGGTAGCCAGTCTGAGCTGTAAATACTCCTGCACTATAAATCTATGCATAGCATGTTACTTATAGGCTGTTCTTAAACAGTGTATCAATAAAAGTGTATTGATATATAGATTTTTTAATTCAAATATGACTATGCGTAGAATTGTAGCAGCAGAATGTTAACCATTAAATTGAATGCCAAATAATGTTAGCAGGAGAGAGTACAAATGAGGAAGAACTGTACTGGGGATTTGAAAAGAATAGACTTATCTTTTACAGGATGAAGATGAAAATATTGGCAAGAACTCTACCAACTGTGGCTTGATGTTGGTTGAGAAATTATAATGGCCAGAGTTTCCCAATTAAGATGCTAAGGTCTGGTTGTTAAATCTTTGTGTAGACATTTAAAAACCAGTTTAATGCTGAAATTCCACTTTATACCCCAGAAGGAGGATGAGTTACAAATTCTGAGAGACATTAAAATGATCTTAGTGTCTGACACTTCATGTATCATGTTTTTGTTTTCCCTGGAAGATTTATTTAAAATGCTGTATCTGTATCCATTCCTTAATCTTTCGAGAGTGATAATGTGAGAGATTATGATTATGAGTGATGAAGCAAACTGATAGTATATTTGCCTTGAGTTTATATTTTAAATGCCAGTGGTTTGGTTAGTAGCTACTGGTGGTATTTGGTTTCTTACTCAGTATACCCAGATGCAATGCAATGAAAATACATCACACCACAAATATATGTGAATTTTCTTTTTTTTTTTTTAATGAAATGGTAGTTTTCCAAGGGGAGCTTATAGCTAAGGAAGAATAGTAACTTTGAGAAATAGAGTCATGAAGAGACTGATGATCTATTTGGTGAGGTATTTGGGTTTGTGTAAAATGAACGTTAATATTTAAATTTCACCCCACAGAACATTAAACCATACAGAAAGGTAAGGTCATCACAGGAGATCACTCTGAAATCACATTATGATTTTAGCAGTCTCCTGACAGCCAGATGAAATTAAACAGAGGGAAAAAAATCTATCATGTTAAAATCAGAAATGAGGACAATCTGTCAAATCTAAACCCAGAGACAACTCTCTTTAAAGCTGGAAGTGGTATCTACTTCTGTGATTTCCTTCCAATGTTAGTTGCTACTCATTAAGGTGAAGTGTGCCATGTACTTTACAAATGCAGTTTCTTTTTCTGCTTAAGTAACATCTATAACCAAGTCACATTTTCATTGAACACCCAAATATCTCAAATTTATTGGAATTATTATGGGATTTTTTTTTAAGACTTTGGTTTTATATGACTAAGCAGCTATAAAACTAGATTAAAAAATCAGCATCGCAAGTTAGTTGTTACTGATTGGAAACAGTACGTGACATTGGCTTTGTTCCCTCTTTGACTGGGTTTCACACCTGCGGAACTAGGGGGGTTCCTCAAAATAACTGAGGGCTTGAATTCCTGGAAGAATAAAAAAGGTTGTGGAGAATATTATGGGACAAATATATGGAAGATTTACAGGAACCTTGAGAGAAAAAAAAGTCAATATCAGATTATAATGCTTATGATGGGAATATTTAATTTTGGTATAACCACTTATAACTGTCTTATTGTAGGAAATAGTGTTGCTCAATGAGTCTTAGCGTACATATGAAGAAAAATCGATAAACACAGTTTTGTAATGAATATATCTGACCAAATTTTTGCAGTCAATGAGACTGGATGTGTTAATGCATAGATTAGCTTACTTCTTGTGGTCAGAGGATTAGCAGGAGGAAGAAACTGAATCACTTATTTTTTCAAATAATTTGTATCATATTCTGAACTATGAAAAGGTGAGGCTTAAACTAATAGATGTTAACAGATGTCACTGGAAATAATTTTTAAATCTCCAAAGTATGGAAATTTATTTTTGATTTTTCAAAATGTGTATGATATTAGAAAAAAAAAAACTGCTTTCCTTTTAAGTATTTTGGTATCCCAACAGAAAAGTTACTCTGTTCTGAGGGTTTTGTTTAGCACGAATGATCTGGTGGGAAAGGAAAGAAATCATGACTGTGGAAACTCCCCCACTCTTGTTTTGATCAGGAAAAGTGAAGTCATTCAGTAAACTCTTATCTTTTGTAATAAAAGCGGGATTTCGGTTTCAATAGTAAGCAAGCCATCAAAGCTGTTTTCTTTAAGAAATAAAATACAATCTCTTTTCTGTGACAATCTCCCTATGGCTGTATTTTTTGTCTACTAAGTATGGTGGGGAGGATTATTGTTTTTTCAAAATTGTTTTAAGTTCCAGCAGCATGTATGTATCAAATCTCATAATGTGCCTGCGAAGATATGTATTTAAAGCAACATTGTCGTCTTTTTTCTTTAGAGGCAATTCTGAACCTGCATTAGAGAATATTAAATGTATTTCCAAGGGTTTATTAAATATTCAGTAGGGTTTTTTTTCTGTAGTCAAGGGTGTCAAGGGCAAACCTTCTAAGTCCTGGAATGAAACTCAAATGAACCAACTGAACCTTAAAAGCTGCTATTGAATATTCACGTTAGAAAATGTACATTACACAGTGAGGGGAGTTGAAGGAGGAGGTGTTGAGATCCAACCCCAGAACAAGTTATATCCAAACAGGATACAGACTCTTTCTGGGAAAATACTGAAATATTGTGAGGCATTTTATTCAACGATTAACTGTGCGTTAACCTTTTCACTGACTATGACCTGTCCATCGTGGAATACAAAATAATGTGTAGAAATAGGCTGTTCTATGGGTGCAGGATGGACAGAATAAGTATATCTTGACTATGGAGTAGTATGAGTCTGATTTTATAAATATGAATAACACACCTGAGTGTGAGGATCAATTTCTAGCTCTGTTGCTGTTTTATTTGGGCTGTGTCTAAGCTGCTAAACCTTAGAACGATTGAAGTCAGGCCCTGACTCCATCACAGGACAGCGACAAGTTGTGCCACCAGTCCTATTTCAGGGTTTGTGTTGGAAAAGAAACTTGGACAGGTGGGTTAGATGTGAGCCACAGCGTCCTCTGACCAGGTGCCTTTTCCTACCATGAAATCCAGACATGGTCTACAAGACTGTTGTCAGGTCATTTTCAGCCACGATTTTTAAAGTGACCTTACTTTCTTCAGGGCACTTTAGGAGATATGTGCAAGGTAAAATATAACATTGGACACACAGAAGTTCTGATAATCTGCAGATTGCTCAATTTACAATCCTAGAATTGGTTACCATTTTTGAAATTGCTTTAAACTCTGAGCAGCTCAGTTCCCCATGGGACACTGAGTTCAAAATAGGAATAATAAAGTTTTCTACTTCCAACAAGGCATCTGAAACTCACTTTAGATTTATATGCTTCATTAAAAATCAAGTTGTAGATGATTAATCCACTTACCATGAACATTAGTAGGACTCAGCAACAGAGCTTGGCTGGTGATCCTGTCAACTAGAGAAGCTGGGAGCTGGAATCTGTACCCACATTGTCTGAAATGTGATGCTGACACACATGAACAAAATCGGATACACGCTGCCTTCAGAATGGGAGCAGAGGGAATCAGCAGCCTACTGAGAGCTTTAACTGCTTCATGAGGAACATTCTGCATGCTGTGTTTTACATACTGAACATTTTGGTAACTTTTAACTGCTCTTTTCTGGCAAAAGTGGACGGAACTTCTTATTAATTCAATTCATATTAATTTCAGTTTTGAAAAAGGCTGATTTAGTGGTGCTGGAGTGTCTGTAAAACTATTCTCTCAGGAAAGTGTTGTCCCTCAGGGGAAAAAAAGAAAACCTAAATGAAGAAAGATAATTTTATCTCATCTCTTGAAACAAACAAGAAACAACTATTTTAAAAAAACTTTTAAGAAATGAGAGAAAGATTGTGATTATTTGGATCTTATTTGAAAATTTTTCTTCAACTTTTTTTTTCCAAAAAGTTTCAAGCCATGTGCTTGGGCCGCAATCTTTGGTTTAAAAAAGGGGGTCGATGAAGCTGATTTGCTGTATGCCAAGGCTGAATTTGTCTTGCAACTAGTCAAAAACCTAAGTTTTCAGAACTTCTCACAGTGAAAGGTTACTAATGATTCAAGGAAAAAATTGTCTCTTCCTGTGACCTTTCTGCAATTATGATCAGGCTCCTTTTAGATTTATTTGCTTCATAAAAAAAAATGCCAAGAAGTTTTGTGTGGTATCTCAATTATTGTGTACATTAGCAGGACTGAGGAATAGAACTTGGTTGGTCCCACCCACCAGAGGATCTGGGAGTTTAGATCTGTACCATCTTGGTGTCAAATGTGGTGCTTACTCAGAAGGACAAAAATGGATATCTTTTTAGAGCCTCATTAGCTTCAAAATAATAAAAGATGGAATTAGGACGAAGCAGAAGGAAAGCGTAAAGTGAGGGTAGCACATGACTTAATTTCATTTCTATCATTACAACTGTTTCTGAAAAACATGCTAGACTCTTTTCAACACATTACCTAGTATGGTGTAATACAATACTAAGGAAGTATATTTGTAAATGTAAAGTAAATCCCTAAGCATTTTTCTTTGACTGCTAAAGTGTTCCTTCTTGCATTGGCCATTGCATTTTCTTCTTGCATGTTCTCTGAACTCTAACTATTGCAGTAACGTTGTAGGTCTTCTTGTGTATGAGGTTTCATCGTGCTAGATGCTGTGCAAACTCTGTCCAGACTGTCCTGATTCAAAGAGTTTGCAGTTTAAAACAAAACATGACAACATAAAAGGAACTAGTGTCTTTGCTCAAAATCAGTGACATATATGCTATTGTGTGCATGATGAAATGTGTACATCTCATTGTTTTACATTGCTGTGAATGGAAATTGTGGGATTATCAAGAAATCTGTCACCAGATTAATAGTTTTTTCTTGCCTTTGTTTGTTCTAACCTCTGAAAAATGATTGCCTTTAAGACAACAGAGTAGGATACTTGGCAGATTTTGGAAATGACTGAATGTCTTTTTCCTTTAGGGATAATAAAGTGCTGTTGAACGTAGGTGCATAGTTAAAAATTTTGATCTGCTTTGCCAAGTGCCAAGTGCACTGTGGCCTTTCACAGTATCAGTGTTGAGCAAAACAGTAATAAATAGCTTGGCAGGCAGTTCTACCTTCAGTTAAACTCTTGGTATTTGACATTTTTTAGAAAGGTTCTGAACCAGAATGGACTCCCTTTCTGAACTACAGCCCCGAAAGAGGTGCTAATTATTTACATACTATTAGATTCAGTGCACTGTTGAATGCACGGTTAATCCTTATTATTGTGGTAAATTTTAGTTTGGCTAGGTTGAATGTAATTTTCTGTTGTTTTCAGGCAAAAAATGTTCACAGTTGTCTGAAATGACCAAAGTGTGGCTGTTAAAGAGCTTTCCCAATATTTTATCTATTAAAAGTTCCCATCCAGGTTGAAAACTACAGTGCTGACTTAGCTTCAGTGATCCTCAACGTCTGCAGATTTGTTTGCTTTTTCCTTCCATCACTGTGTAGAAAGATGCTGGAGAATGATCTAGGAGCATCCAAGGGTCATTCTTAGCCCACCAGTGGCTTAGAGTCTGATAAATTCTCTATCCATGTTATGGAGAGGTTTTGCAGAGATCTGCTGAGATTAATTCACTTAGGTTATACAGGTCTGGTTGTATTTGCTGACTCTAGTTGTCTCGCACAAGATTAAGGCTTTTTTTTGTGCGTGTTGGTGTCAAGTGCCAGGAATAAATGAGCTATGAAGGTACAGCAATTTTGTAGTTAAGACAAAGGCAGAAAAGCCTGTTTGGTAAAAATCAACCAGACAGTGTAAGATTGTTTGCTTAGCTTGTGACTAGAAGTTCAGACTGGATGATAAGTGTTCAATTCAGTCCCTGAGTCAGTCCTTTCTGAAAGACAACAATTTGGAGCATTTGTAATTGAGGGACTTGGTGTAATAACTTTGTTTCATTGATTGAGGAAAGGAAGCTATAAACAAGCTGCAAATCTCTGATATAGGGAGATATATGGGGGTTTTTTGATGGATCTTGTGAGTCTGAATATAATAAATTTGGCAGGCCTGCATTGCAAATTTAAACTTGTTTCTCAGAATAAAAGCAATTCTCTCTACCAGTTGTAGAGACAACATTTTATTGTCTAACTAATGTTCTATGTTAGAAAAATGCAACCATTCAGTCTTGTACCAGCCCAAATGAACTCCTGTAGCACATAATACTAAATCCGAGTGCTAATACTAAATTTGGTGTTTGATACCCGAAGTACACAAAATCAGTTTTGCTGCAACATTGCAACCTGGATTGAAGTGACATAACAGAGGCATTCTTGCTTATGGCAGCTGTTCTGTCTCCCTTGTAACTAGATTTTTTCAGTGAGATTCAAGATTTTGGTGCGATAACATACCAGCATCCTGCTGCCACATTTTCGCTTGCCTGTACCACTGGAGCCCAGACGGTAAGCTGCCCTTTCCAGTAGGGATGGTAGTAGAGAGTGTGATTGATTGATAGTTTTTTTCTACTTGCTGGGCTTCTTTAAGGTACTCAGTTTCAGGTTGAGAATTAGCAGATTAAAAGAGTGATACCCTGAGTGATTTGTAAGTAGTATTAAGGGAAACATAAAATACATGAAGTTTTTTTTTAGTAAAATAAATAATGCTAAAAAGGATGAAGAGCCTGCGTCAAGCTTTGAGGTCCCTATCATATATTTTTGTTTTACTAGCAAGTAACAGTTTAAAATTATAAAAATCCAAAGCCAAAAGAGTTAGTCATTTGCTGCCATTTTGAAAGAAATATGTTTCTTTCTTGATATTATGCAATTGTAAAATTTCAAGCTGCCAGGTATGTGAGGAAGCATAGATATTTTCAAAAACCTGTTGAGGCATCTCTTTGTCTCTTTGGGTCCCTAACACCTTCAAAAATCATGAAGTCTTCAGAAAGGTTTTTCCAGGATAATACTGACTATAAAATATCTATTAAGCCAAAAATCTAGAATAACAAACTCATTGATAACATGTTATAAATCCTGACTCAGGGAGGAATTTAAACACATCATCTGTTCATGTACCACACCATTGCTGTTGGCGTGTGAATATGGTGGTAATGTATTGTCACGTGAAAGAAGTTAACTGTTGTAGCAAAAAACCCAACTGCCCTCAAAACACCTTCTCATTTGACATGTTTTACTGGGTGTAAGAAGATTTATCTCCTCCAGCTGTCTGGATCGGTGTTAATTTTTATGAGATCCTATCCTGGATGTTCTCTTTTCTTCAATGTTTGACTGTGACGACTGAGTTGAAGATCAGGCAGTAAATGTTTTTTAAGTCTGTAAAAATCCTCTGAGAGAGCTGTCTCCAGCTTATTTCACTATATTTTATCTATTCATGTGCCTCTACCGAACTGAATTTGTATTTCTCTGTTTGTTCAGATCTTTGCTAGAGTTTTTGCTAGGTTTACTCTTAGTCCTACCTAAGAGCATGAGTGATGGATGACTGTGAACAAAACAGGCTTTGCAGCCAGCTCTACCTATAACACAGAAGGCATTTTCTATCAGTAAATATCCTGTGTTTGTGAATCATTGAAAATCCAAAGGAAACCTGATATTTGGATCTGTTCCTAGGACCCTCTGAGGTGCCCTTCAGGCCAGGTGTGAATTCCTGAACCATAATCTCAAGACTGTTAGGGTCAGCCTCGTTTTCCACTATGTGAGAGGTAGACAGCCTCAAATCTTGCTGTGGATGATGTGTATGGGGCCTCTTTGTAAGGTACCTTGGCAACTGGATGGAATTCAGATGGTTTATCATAGATTAAAGAATTTGTTGCCACTTTCTGAATGAGTTGCAGCCCGTCATGGTGTCCATCACCAAGACTTTTCCTGCTCTCAGACTCCTGACCTACGTGTGAGAGCTGTCCGCTGCTCTCCTCTGGCCTAGATGCAAAGTTTTACGCATACAAATTCGTGAATCATTTGAGGATGAGTGACTAAAAGATTTACAATGATGACTGACATGTTTAGTATTAATGTGAAGAGCTGTGTGGTTCTGATGTCTCTTCTCCCTCTTTTTATTTCAGTTCATCGCCTTCGCCTCTTTATTCTTCATCCTAGTTTCAATCACAACCTTTTGCCTGGAAACGCATGAGGCTTTCAATACTATTATAAACAAAACTGAGCAGGTCATCAATGGGACAGAAACTGTGCTACAGTACGAAATTGAGACAGATCCTGCCCTGACATACGTGGAAGGAGTCTGTGTGGTATGGTTTACATTTGAATTTTTAGTACGTGTTGTTTTTTCCCCCAATAAACTTGAATTCATCAAAAACCTCTTGAATATCATTGACTTTGTGGCCATCCTGCCCTTTTACCTAGAAGTGGGCCTGAGCGGGCTCTCCTCTAAAGCTGCTAAGGACGTGCTTGGTTTCCTCAGGGTAGTAAGGTTTGTGAGGATCCTGCGAATCTTCAAGCTCACCCGGCACTTTGTGGGCCTCAGGGTGCTGGGCCACACTCTGCGAGCCAGCACCAATGAATTTTTGCTGCTGATTATATTCCTGGCTCTCGGCGTTTTGATATTTGCCACCATGATCTACTACGCAGAGCGAGTGGGAGCCCAACCTAATGACCCATCAGCGAGTGAGCACACGCAGTTCAAAAATATCCCTATCGGCTTCTGGTGGGCTGTAGTCACCATGACCACCCTGGGATATGGGGATATGTATCCACGGACCTGGTCAGGCATGCTGGTGGGAGCCTTGTGTGCACTGGCAGGGGTGCTCACCATAGCCATGCCCGTGCCTGTGATAGTTAACAATTTTGGGATGTACTACTCCCTGGCCATGGCAAAGCAGAAACTGCCGAGGAAGCGGAAGAAGCACATCCCTCCAGCTCCTCAAGCCAGCTCGCCCACCTTCTGCAAGACTGACTTGAACATGGCCTGCAATAGCACACAGGGTGACATCTGCCTGGGCAAGGACAACCAGCTGATGGAGCACAACAGATCATCAGGTAGGACCCCGCTGGAAATGCATGCCCTCTGAAAACACTTTATAGACCAGTATGTTTGGTAGGGGTCAGAAAGCAGCCAGTCTTTCTGCCAGGAGAAGAAGTAGCTCCCACCCTTCTCCCCTCCAGTGTTTGCGTGTGTCAGTCTCATAGAGGACAAAATAGGTATAGTGATGTTCCCAAACCTCTATGTAGCTGGTCTATACAGTTTTGCTTGCTCTGTTGAGATATGATATCAACCTTTTCTTTTGCCTGTTGTTTGTTGCGTCATATGGATGTTTCTTGTTTTTCTGCATGACTGTGACTATTTGAGCAGCCACCGTGTCCCACCCTGTTGGACTCCATGGTGTTTTGCCTCAGTGTCTGTCTCTTGTGTCAGCTTTGCCTGTGCAACATCGTGGCCTGTTAAGCAAGATCCTACAAAGAAGCAGTCATTTAAAAGGAGCAGGTCCTTTACATCAAAAGCCCAGCACTCAAAGGAAATAAGAAGAAATTCTCTTTCTAGCTTTCTTTCCATTTGGCATTCTGCTTCCCTGGCTAGAAGAACCTCCTTCGTCTGTGTTAGATGCGACATTGCATGATATTTACCATTAATTGAATGATAATAACATAGCTGATGTAAAGTTTGTCAAGAAAAATGAAAATGACAGCCCCTAGTAACATCACCGTTATTAATGTTGATTTTTATGATTTATATTACCATATTTGTTAGAGTTCCAAATGATGGATAAGGAGTATTTTGTGCTAATTGCTGTGAAAATGCATATCAAATGACAGCCTCTGCCTGTCCAAGGCACTGCCCCATATTCCATATCTCTTCGAATTACAGAGTAAATTTTATCTCTCAGTATAATTAAAACAAATTTTTTAGCAGCAAGGATTTTTTTGTTTGTTTCTTGAATGTGTGTATTCTAAAACCAAGCACAATCTAATTACAAAGCTTACATACCAGTCGTTAGACTCCTGTTGGAAAGTTGCTAAAGAATAGTAAGAGCAAAACCACCCACGGCTGGTGAATTTCAGTAACTGAAATTTATTTTTTGAAAAGAAGAGTCTGGAAAATCGGTCCCTGAACAATATCCATCTTTGGTCTGTTGCTTTGTTACTGAATAGCATTTATGTTCAAAGAAACTCGGTTTCAGTCTCCGAGTGAGTGTTCATAAAGTTAACTCAGCTTTTTGAACATCCTAAATACATTTAAGAGGATGGAAACCCTCGAAAGGACTCACACTGAGGTTGGAATATAGTTAGTTTTACAGTGCTTTGACTGATATCCTCTTTCAGACAACATCTTTAAAGTGTTAATGATAACAACTTTTTCATGCCATCAGATCCTACTAAAGGTATCTGGAATGGAGGAGGTTCGGTGTGATCAGAACAAAGAGACACTTTTCTGTGTCTGCAGCTTTATTTACAAGGTGTTATAATCCTTGAAGTTAGAGAGAAAGCAGATGTGTAAAAAGGAACCATTTTAAAGTGTTAACTTTCTCTTCAGTAGTGCCACCGCTTACTTTGTGCACTGTAGCTTTATTTCCGATAGAGAGTCACTAGGAACTCTATGCAAAACTTCGAGGCCAAATATAGCCCTTTGCATTACCAGTTCAGAAAACACACGTGCTCAGATTTAAATGCAAAGGTAAAGCTGAAGTCAATAACACGCCATTACCTGTTATGTGCTGGACTGAGCAGAGGCTTTTTTTCTTGAAGTGTGGCCTGAATCTGAAATAGTATGTGATTTTAAAGGAGAGTCTTTTGGGAGTGCCAAATCAGGAGAGGTAAGAGTTTCGCTGTTTGACAAAATAAACTACAGAGACCAAAGACAGCATTTAATGTTGCGTACTTATGATGACAAACAGTGCAAATGTGATAAGTATAGAAATGAAAGCTAAAAGTGTGTTATTAAACAGGTTTTAGTGCCAAATGTTCAAAATTTAACCCTGCTAGGGGAAGGCTTGTTTTTAAAATATGCTAACAACATATTCTAAGCAAAAATTACTAACATGACCTCTTGTTTAGCAAAAAGGATAGCCAAAATAGTAAATTCTTGTTTGAAATAGCCAAGGCTGACTGTACTCCAAAAAGTTAAAGTCCGTAATAGACAACTATATGAGTCTTGATTTGATTATTTCTTATTTCATGTTAGTTTAGTGTAACTTTATATGTTATTTAAAAGAGGAACGGCAAAGTCAAAAGATCATTTGTTCTTGAATAAAAAATACACTTTTTGCCATTTTGTACTGATTAATGGTGAATTACAATCTTGTTTTCTTCTAATGATTTACCTTATAAGTATTTTTTGAGTGATGGGAATATCCGGCATTCAGCATAAGCTCTTTGTGATGTCTCATTTCCTCATTCATTATTGTCTGTAAATGGGCATGGTGCTTTAACCAGTGTTATCAGGTGAAGACAGTGCAGGAAGTGAGCAACCACTCTCACCTGGTGAAAGGCTCCCTCCCATCAGACGCTCTAGTACAAGAGACAAAAACAGAAGAGGGGGAACATGTTTCCTACTGACAACAGGTGATTACACGTGTGCTACTGATGGAGGGATCAGGAAAGGTATGGACTTCTTTCATTAGATCGTAAAAGGTTACTCAGCAATGTGCTTGTGAAAAGCAGTCTTAGAGTAAAATGATGTGCACAATGCTTTTAGAGGACTGTACTCACAATGTATCTTTTTTCTTTATTCCTGGTCATTCTTTTCCTGCTTGCCTTTTAGAAACACTCCTCTCCTTTAGTCTTCACAAAATGTGCTTGATGTTGGACCCTCATTGCACTTGTGTCTTCATTTGTCTGTAATCTTCAATGGAAAAGCCTGCAATTCAGACCTTGCTCATTCAACCACTCATCACTCAATACCATTTGTCATTCTAAAAGATTAATTCTTTAATAACTTTGGTCTGCAGTTAGTAACTTAGTAAAAACTACAGCTGAATAAATAACACTTAAAAGGTTGAAATGTCAGAAGGAAGCAATGTTTTTGTTCTGAACACAACAAAGCATATCATATGAGATGCTATTTAGATTTCTTTCAAAGAAAAGCTTGAGTTTATAATGCCACAAAATGTTTCCTCTTTGTAATACACCACTGATACTAAAAAGTGACTATTTACCCCAACCAGAATTCAACTGCAGTAAACAATGTTTGATCTTGCAAGGTGCTAAAAATGCCTTTTTAGTTATTCAGCCTCTTCAAGTCTGATTACTCACTGTTCAGTAGGATTGGGTTCCCCAGGCAGAGCTCGCCAAACCTTGTTGTGGTTACATGTATCTCCCATGTGACTGATGGTGTGGCCACCCCATCAGGCCACAGCCTGCTGTAGGTGCAAACCTAACCTCAGGGCATAGCCCCCAAATCAGCAATGCCAGTGGTAGTCTTGCCATTTCCTTAGATAAGAATAGCTTTGGTTTCTTTGCAAATTGTATTATTACGACAAGTTTCATATTCCTGAGTGCTGATGTGCAGTTGTTCACCTTAGGAGTTCATCTGCAGTAGCCATGTGGCACTGGACAAACATTTTTGGCTGAGATTTTTCTGGTCCTTTTTTTTTTTTAAAAAAAACCCCACCTTCCTTTGTGTACAGCAAACATAGCTGTCCTAGCCAGCCATAGACACTAAAGGAATTCTCTTGGGTTATTCTGCACATGGTCTTTTTACATTTCAAAAGCATGAGCTCAGTAGGTTAAACCCGTGAAGGCAGATATGCACCCAGAGTTCGATGAATATGGTATTTGTAAAGAGTATGATTGTCTTCATGCTCCTGCGTTTTACACATTTGTATAGATAAAGGTTAGACTAAGTAGGACTTCGTTGCAAACATGTTTTTGCTCAGATTTAGGACACTTTTCACTGAGTATATATCTTACACTCTCTTCTCAACAACTAGGATTATTTAAAATACACCTAATGGTAAGAGTCCAGTCTTTGAGGAGTTCAGGAACACCTGAATAAGGCAGATTGCCATGATATCTTGCAAGATAAGGTTCTTGACTTCTTTTAGGAATGTTAGTATAAACATGAGTGCTGTTCACCTGGCAGTAACCATAATTAGAACAGATCAGAAATAATAAAATAAGTTACCCATCACCTACTAAATACCTATTCATATAACAATAAAACAAATTTTATACTGGGACCATGTGAACGTTTTCGTTTCAAAATCTAGATTAAAGAGAAAATTGTTTCACAGTTTTTACTAGAAAAATGGGGCTTGAGTTCAGAACTGACAGTTTCTCAATGAGAAATGTTTTCTTTGACTGGCTCTGATGATAACCCTAGTCTAGGTTGAAATGTTTTAGCCACTAGCTTTCAAGTTTATTTTATACTGATTAGGGAATTTAACTCATAAGTAGAAAATGTCTTCAAGTAGCATCCAAATGGTTTTGAATACTTCAATTTAATTTGCACATCAAGTCTCCTACTTTTTCATTTTAGTTTTTCCCTTTCTTTCTCTTGGTACATCCTTCTTGGATGATTGGTTCCTTGGTTGCTTCTTGGTTATGTTCAATGATCATTTACTCTCAGCTTTTTTGCATTAACACCTTATCTCCATCTCTAAGATGATACTGATTCGGAGCTGATCCAAACCCCACTAAAATATCTGGAAAGTACCAATTTTGGATCATGCCTCTGTCTCTATTCATCTTGTGTATCTGGTTTTCATTTTTTGGGAGTTCCTGTTTTCTTTATCATCTTTACTGTCTTCATCTATCAGTTCTTTGATTTTATCATTAGAAAAGTAGCAGGAAAAATATTTTTAAAAAATACTTTCCAAGTTTCTGTGTAAAAACCCTACTGATTATTTTGATTTTTATTTTCTAAGCTTTATGTTTACAGGGGAGGTTAAATATATACACTAGTATTGTGCTTCCTCTCTATTCCTCTTTCAAACATGATTCTTTCTGATCTGTGTAAATACTGATAGAAATTCAGAAACTGGAGGCTGTTTTTGAAATGTATCAGAAGTCTGTGAAGCATCACAGTCTACCTTGCCCGTGCAATCTGGAGAGAACATTGCACAATGTTTTAGCAGACATGAGGTTGTACATTTGCTTTAAGTATAATTTTGCAGTATGCAATTCTCAGTAGGTAAGAAATATATTAATTGTCATTAGAGGAGAACATAAGATATAATTTTTCCTGAAGATGCTAACAACTGTCTGTTAACTGTCTGTTATCTGGAGATCTGGAGTTTGAGCCAGTAACTGTTTCAATAAGAAAAAAAATGTCTGATGACTTCCTATGTAATGTTTAGCTGTATTGTCATTGACATTTTATAGTTTCTGTGGGAAAAGTATTTCACTGTCAGCAGTTTATACCTGAATGTCTTAATCTGGCAAATGCTTAGATGCATACTTGTCTTCAAGGCAATAGGTAGTGCCATTGAAATCGATGGGGCTTCTCACGCTTGCAGTGAAGCACGTATCCGTGTATTTGAGGAGTGAGGTCCTGTCCGCCTTCATCTTCATTTTATTTCCTTGCTGATATCTCTCTCCAGACTGATGGGCTGATCCTTTTCTTCGTAAGTGGGCTTATTCAGGTGCTATTGAAAATGCTTGAGTATGAAGATAGTGATGCAGTGAATAGTAACGCTTTTCTGTCGTTTTACAGCATAGCCTCTGCAAGGTGAAAACAATCTATATGTAGCAAAAAGTAGTAGCTAGAGCTCACGGTGTATATGAACAGAAATGTCTGCAACTGCAATGTTCCCTCCAAGTTGTGAAACTTTATGTGGTTGCCTCATTTATTGATTAATTATTTAGTACTTGCTTATGTGGATTAATACGATTTATTTCATTGGGTCAGCTGGTGAAGGAGCACAAATACGGTGTTTTAAATTTGCCAATCAGGAAGCATTTGCAAATATGTTAAACTCTGCTGTCTTATTATTCTTTAATATCAGACACAAAGTCTTAGAGTTAATATTTCTGAAGATGGAACTTCTTTCCATATTATCATTCAATCCTTTGCAGTAGTGATTTACACATACTGTATGCAATTTATCTGGTTTTTGTTTTATTTATTTTTAAAGAAAAATCATCCTTTATTAGGAATTGGGTTTAGCAGAGATTACACAGTTCCAGCAGTTTTTATAGTCTGTCTTAATGGGTTTTTAATTATGCTTAGCCAGATAGTTCACCCAGTAACCCTGCTGGGATCCTTTATCTTGCACTCTGTGCAACCCTGCTGAAGCCAATGGAGCGGCACTGAGTGCAAGATGGGATGTGCAAGAAAAGGTCAGACCTCTTGTGTGACGGTCTGTTTAGTTTCCTGGGAAAGAATAACTGCATTATTTTATAAATAATTTTATTCGTTAATATGTTTTGGTAGTAATGTGACTCAGCATTGAGTTCTTTTGCAGGCAGATTCCCTCTGAGTCCCAGATAGCTCCTTGGATTACATTACATTGTATTGTTTGTCTTTGTCTATTTTTTGGCTGAATTCAACTGACGTCTGTGCATTTTCTCATACAAGGCTATGAAAAATCTCGAAGCTTAAACAACATAGCTGGCTTGACAGGCAATGCTCTGCGACTGTCTCCAGTAACATCACCCTACAGCTCACCTTGTCCTCTAAGGCGCTCTCGGTCTCCCATCCCTTCCATCTTGTAAACCAGATGGCATCAATCGGCTACATATTATTAACTCAAATACTGTTTACCACATATTGGAAATAAATGTAGCATTAACCATAGGCTCCACAAATATGGTACAACTCCTGCATGATATAACTGTCGGTAGTAGGAAATGCCACTTGGGTAGCTGAAGATTTTTATCTTGGCTTTTAAAGATTACCTAAGGTAGCGCTTCTCCTTTTATCCACTATATTGTCCTACTTTCCTGTGGCAATAAAAGGACAGTTAGTGGATGCCATTGGCCAGTATATTCAATAAACGAGCATATTTTCAGGGAGATTTACTTAAACTAATGTGCTTCCAACTAATTATCAGTCACTCCATTGAACCTCCATTTCTTGTGACTCTAATCCATTCTGAAGATGTCTGGAATCGTGTCTTGGTTGCACACAATGTGACTTGGGTCTGCTCATTTGCATGGACCATCCTGTCTCCATCACCCGACAAGCAGTGTTGCCAATCGCGGAGACCGCAGAGGGCTCTGGATGTGTGTTCTCCCATTGTAATGAAAGCACTGATAAACTGGTCTGCATGTGGGATTGTTTTTCTTTGTTTAACCTTTTCCTTTATTTTTTAATGATCTACTTGTTTATAAATGGCTTTATTTTGTGATTAACTTACTTCGGTACTGGATTGCTGTATCAGAGTTCTGAATGTCTCCGGTTGTTTGCACACAGATAACTGCAAAGAGGTTGTCATTACTGGTTACACGCAAGCAGAAGCCAGATCTCTTTCTTAATGGCTTGGGGAAGGCACAAAACATGCAAGAAAGGTAAACGCCATCCAGACTTGCAATTTTAAGCTAGCAAGTGCTGCTTGGTACTGTAGTCATTTCTCTACTCCAGGGTTCTTCAACATTTTCAGAGGCTGAGTACCAAGTAAAATTGAGAAGATAATTGGGGGCTTTTTTGTACCACTGTAAGAGGGTAGTAGTTCTCAAGTTGGGTTTTTGACCAGCCTTATACCTCTGGCTCATGAGCTTCAAAAATTTCTTCGGTCAATGTTTTTTGAGGTGCTTCGTCCTATATGTTGTTTGTCTGTCTGTTTTGCAACCTGTCTACTGTAATCTCCATCTGTCTCCATAAAGCACAGAGATACTGTTAAAATGCCCCCCTCTTCTAAGGTTAACCAAGGACATTTTTCTCCTTTTCTCTTTTTTTCATATGGACTATACTTATGTGTATAGATACAAATACATATATTTTTCAAGTGTGAATTAGTATCGTCTAGAATAATTCATGTGAGCACTCTGAAGATTTTTTGGGTGGGACTTAGTAGCAGCTTTACAGTACTGATGCGTTGCCTATTGCATCAATCTTCCTCCTAGCAACCAGCATTCATTACAGTTTTGAAACTGTATCTCCTCTAGTGGCTTTTTCATTCAATATTAACCTCTGTTTATGCAACAGGACAAATGCAATGGCAGATTTGTATTCTGGGCTGGTGAGGAAAAATTACCCTAAACCGTAGAATTTCAGAACTACATGGGGAAGACCATAACAATCCCAGTCTTAAGAGATCCTTGAGATTGTTGAATAATCCCTGATTGTCATGTTTTATTTTTTGTTAGGAAAAGAAATATAACTTATTGTTGACAATGTAACATGTTCTTCTGTATATAGCCTAGCCCAATAGCATGACCTGCATGTCAGAATTCTTGTACAATAATGTATTTATCAAAGTATACATTTCTGATATTTAGAGATGTACATTGATTTAGTTTTGGTAAAATATTGTCAATAGAGAGATAATTGCAAACAGCTTTTAGCAAAGGAATTAATATAATATCTGGTGCTGCTGTTATATTAACTACAGTGTTGTACAGAATTTATCATGGATTTTTGACTGCTGAAAAAGGGACAATGGAATTTAGCCATACCAAGGACTGTACTGGAAAGAGACTGCTGCTGCTGAATGGGCCCTGATAAACGACTCATGCCTTGAGGAGGTCACTGAGACTTTACATGCGAAGTAGAGCTTGTTAAAGAAGATTAAAGACTGCTCATAATTACTGCTGCCAGAGGAAGGGGTGACTAGTCACTGTTGATGAGTCAGCTGTAAATAAAATGTGTGTGCATGGAATATCAGTTTTTATCTATATCAAAGAAAGCTGAATGCAAGTCATCATTGCTAAGCCTCCATGCAAAGACCCACACCCCTGTCTGTATTCTTCCTGGTTCCTGCAGTAAGTTGTGCTGTGGATCATACAAAGATACACACTTAATAATGATAGTGATGTAAACTACATCTGTCTTGACTGCTGTCATAATAATGGTATATTTTACAAAGATCACAAATAAGAACAGAGTAGGTTTGCGCAAGTCCTTGCTTTCTCAGTTTGCCATGACCTATATTTGTATGAATTCTAGTGTACATGCCAAGTCTTAAGTTTACTTTTCACTTTGATAACAGAAATGTGACTGCAGACAAACATCACCAACTTTGTTCACAGCACAGAGTCTTCTTTCATTGTTACCTCAAACTATAAGTATTATGAGAAATAAAATTCTGGCAGCAAGACTATTTTGGGTTTTTTTTAATTCAAAGTGTTGCAAACCTAACATCAATAAGTATAAAAGATGTATTAAAATGATATCCTACAAATGTATATTTTACATAAAAGAGATATTCTTTGATCAGTTACTTTCTGTGATTTTTGTGGTAAATGGATCTAGTCTATTCTATGTTTATGAGGCATTGTAGTGCTACGATGTGGTAATTATGTTCTCTCCATCCTATTCAGTGGGAAATTCTCCAGAATCTGTTTTGTCACCCTGGTGTCCCGATTGTAGGGACCTGTCCCAGTTGTGAAACTCTGTATCGTGGAACTTCTGTGAACATGTCAAGGTGCATGCACAATCCTGGTGGAAACCAGTAGAAATGTAATACCTGAATTGGAGAATAAAAAGCAAAAGACCTGGGGAGGAACTTGGAACATATCTTCTGAAGTGGCTCATGCGCTTTCTTTAGCTGTATCGGTCCCCTGCCTGCCACTGACCATCCCAGTTCTCAAACCAGTTTCCTGGGGTACATGAGGAGCTAATTAAAAAACTAGCATGAGCTGGCTTCTAAAGCAATTTAAAATCTTCTTTCTTGTTAATGACACCACGCCTTGTACGAAAGTTGTAATTTGGCTAGATATTATCAGACTCGAGGCAGTTTTATTGCATCCTGGTGTCAAGCCAACCTAAAAAGGAGGTGATAAATGGTTGCTTGAAACTGCTAATCCAATACTGTATTTGGGCAACCGGTGAAATCCCCGAACACGAGCAGAGTATCTGAGAGGAGTGAGGGTGCTAATACACCTGTACACATGATCTGAGGGGCTGTTACGGCAGTATTTTGGAAAAGGTGCTGGAATGTAAAAAAGATTCCAGAAAACAGCATCAAGAAGTGTTCCAGTTTTGGAAAATGTGTTACAGTGACATACCACAAAAGCTCAATGTGGTGAGTTTGCCCAAAGGCTAAAAGTTGTCTGTACTGTGACCCGTGAGCAGTACCCAGAGGAAGAAGAGGTGTAGTGTTTAGCCAGGACAAGGCTCACAGCCAGCTCGAGTTGCACAGGTCTGACGCCCATCCCCAAGCACCCGGAGAGAGGTGTCTGGTGTTCCTCAGTGCTACATGGGAATGGTGAGGACCCTCAGATCGGATGCAGACAAGACAGTGTGTTGTGTTGGGCAAGACTGTAGAAAACACTGATGATCAGATGGTGTCTGACATCTTCTGCTGTCTCTGGATGGTAAGGAGTGTAAGCCTGGATGGACCTCCACTGTTGCAGGACTTTGAGTCTGGAATATCGTGATTGCAGCTACTTGTTTTTCCCCTAAAGAACCGAGCCCAGGTTTAAATGCTTTCTTTTGAAACACATATGGAGGACAAGCTGATGGTGAGTCTGTTAACTATTCATGTGTCTTGGGACTACAACCCAAATCTGACTGTTCTAAAGAGGAAGAGTTGGCTTAACTAGCCAGCCAACCCTCAAAGACTAACCCACTCCTGTTCTTCCCCTGCTTCTGGGCTCAAGAAGGGGTGAAAGTGCATTTTCATGGGAGGTAGGCCAACAAGTTTTAACTGTCTCAGACAGAGGAAGGCTTTGAACCTAGACTTTACTCTTCAGGGTAATGCAGTTCTTACGGCTCAGATACTATGTAAAGGATGGATGGGCAGCACATCTACATTCACTTCCTCTTTTGGCCATCCTTTAAAAAAAAATAGGTACAATGATCTTTTGTAAAGAGTGTCCTCACAGTGTGATGTGCTTATGCAGAGCAGATCTGTCTGAGGCCTTCAGCCCTGCAGAAGCAAATCTGTGACTGGAGGAAGGAGTTTCGGGTCAAGCAGAAGATGCTGTGTGAGTGTGGGTATCCTGGGATCAAATACTCACCAAGTGGCAATTGTGGGCATTTCTGGGCCTGCTTTAAGAGTCCAAAAACTTATTTAATCCTTGTATAAGTAAGACTTGAGGGCTAGAAGTCAAAAGTACCTAGAGTTAAACAAGCAATGAATTCAGAAGCAATGCAGCTATTAAGACAATTTACCAAAGGCTGTTGCTTGTCCACCTTTTAAAGTTGTAAAGTCAAGATGTTAAAAATGAGCATGTTTTTTAAAGATAAGCTAGTGCAACAGCAGCATTGGTGTAGAGATCAAAAGCTGGGATGTGTGGTGGAGATAAGGAGATTATGGGACCTTCAGACTTCGAAATCAGTTATTGTTCTTATGGGGCCTCATTCGGCACTGAGAAAACGTTGCTGTTCCAGCAAATTTTGAGACACTGTATTACAAGTGTTATAGGTGTGTACTGTAAACTGATGCCAGAATTGCTTAGAAGCATGCAACTAATGATAATTAATATAATGCTGTGTGGCAGGGGGCTTTTTCATGTGTGACACAATTATTTTTCCTCAAAGTTATCTTACAAAAAGACTGGATTAAATTAAAGCTGTTAAAAGAGAAGGAAATTTAAGGAAGTCTCTGTTCAGATGGGTTACTGAAAATTGGAGGGTTCCTCCTAGTTAAGGACCAATCTGACATGAGCAAACTTGCTGGCACATTTAATGTGAAGATATGAATTTTAAAAGTCATGAATGAATTAACTATATGAAAGAGGAGGGCATTTTATCATCAGAATAAATCATGCAGAAGTCAGATAAAGGAAATTGGAATGGAAAACTGCTACTAGAAAGAGAAAATGGATATATTAATATGCTGTATTACAAGCAGTGCCTTGAACGATTCCATAATAGAGCCTTTGAATACTAACCAAGTGAGAAGAAATTACCAAAAAAAGCGAAGGTTTCTGTCAGGTTAAAGTTATCAGAAATATTAACATTTTTATAATACAGTATTTCCCCCCTGGAAATACTTGTTATTGACTTAATTTCTAAAAAGACAAGTTATTTAAAAGATGGTGGTTTTTCAAAGAAGTCAAGGATTGGCTCATGAGCAAACACTGAGATGTTAGTATTGGGTATTGGGTACCTAACTGGGGTGCCATTACCAACATTTCCCTCCTACTTAACTGGATGTTCCTGGGATATGTTGAAATTGCAGAGGTGTCTGATTCCTGGCCCCAGAGATGGGGTCTGTCGGACGCTGGCTCTGCAAGAATGCCGGGGTGTGCTCCAGCCAGGCGTGAGCTGTGCAGAGCTCCCAGCTCCACGGCACAGCCTGCGGAGGAACCCCGAGCTGTCCGTGGTCTACGTGTGGCTTCTCATTGCCTTCTGGCAAAATATGTGGGCTTCCCCCACCCTCTGCAACATCCTCCCCAAAACTCAGCCTTCTGTCACTTGCGTTTTTTTCTCATGAGCATGTTGATGAACAGCTGACAGATTTCGGATTCATACTTCCAGAGCTTCAAATACACAGATGGCAATACTCTAACATATTTTAAAAAAAGAAATTGGAAGTAGGCACCTTTTGAAAATTTGGCACTGAATTGTTATGCTTTTTATTTGACATCTCCTGTATTATTTGCAGGTGGAAGACTGGAGATCAGTTGAAAACCAGGGCCACAGCTAGGCTATACTGAAACTTTCAAGATGTGTTCATTTTATATTCTGCATCTGGTTAAAGCATTGTGGCATTTTACTATCACGTGAAGCTCTCGGTTTTCTCCCCAAATGGGAGCTGAAGATAAGATGCTAGGGCAAGTCAGAGAGTACTATTTTAAGTTAAATGTTTTCTCCATAGAATGGTTGTGACTCCTATAGGGCTGTGAACATGAATTGTGACATGAAGAAAAAGACACTGCTTGGGAAATACTGAGGCTGTAATAGATGGCTGTAATCCATCTTTGTCTTGCAGAATGCTACAAGCGCCCTTTCTTTAAAAGACAGAAAGCAGACGATTTCGTGTTGGCCTCCTCAGAGCAGCATTAGACCTGCATAAGGTAATGAACTACCAAAAGAAGAAAGGGGAAGTTGTTTCCCTTGACCTTAAGACAGCTTATTTGCAAAAGCAGCAAGATCAGACTTAAGAAGCTTGGCCTTTGCAGTGAAACAATGCAAAACTCTATCAATCTGAAGAACAGTAAACCGTAGCCACGTTATCCTATTAGGCTGATGCTAAATATAGAATGGATTTTCAGTTTCTTACAGGGATTTCCTTGCTTTGTGACTACATGCCGCACCAAGGTTTTATGAAAATCTTATTTTCTTCATGCCAATGAATGTTGTTGGCACAATGCAGTGTTTGGCATTCTGAAAGTCTTAAAATGATGCCATTGTTTAGTACTACTTTTTGCATTTTGCTAGCATGAAAAAATCAGGTTTCTTCTGAACAAGAACACTGGAAAGGGAGTTGAAGGAGCACTGAAGGACAAAATTTTCTTGAACTCTTACAGAATCTGCTGCATGAACTGCAACCACACAGAAATAAAAATACGCAGCTTTCCCTATGTCAGTGTCTTGACATTGACTGTAACTTTTCTAGTTCTGAAACTCTTCTTCTTACTTTTGGTTGGAAATCACAGCAACAAAATTCAGTTAGTGCTGTTTATAACCTCTACTTAACCCTTGATAAGTTTGCTTTAAATCTGTGAATAATGGAGCAATTATAGAGCTTAACAGCACTAGGATTGAGCTCAGAACTTATGCACAAACTTAATAAGTCCATCTCTAATTACTGAAGAGTTTTCTCGTTACAGGACATTATCTGAACAAGTTTCCAGCATGAAATGACCTCACTGAAATGAATGGCAAAACTGTCCTTGGCTTACTTAAGCAAGACTAGGTCTTGGGAAGAAACTGGTGTATGTGATGGATGTTTCCAGGGCATTTATCATCAACATCTTAGTACTCAAGCATATTTCAGCTGAATCAGCTGAAATTAACGACAATAATTAATAATAATAATAATAATAATATGATTTGTCATGGTGATCACCAATTCTGATCTGAGTAGACGTAGCCATAAGAATATGTAGTTGCAGCTTTTATCTGCACCCAGTTCCCCTTTTCTCCATCCTCCACCAGCTGCTGTAGCTGCAGCAGAACAGCTC